CTCAGTTTGTGCACTCAGGATATCAGACAAGATGGGTGGTGTTCCAAGAGATCAGGGCAGCTCTCATGTCGGACGATCAAAGTGAGCAGGGCTGGTGCTATAACGTTCACACGCAGCTGTGTCTTCCCCGGGGTTGCAATTGGGCTGTGGGTGCTAGACCTCACTGTGAAAGTGCCTGTAAATAAATGGTTTTGTCACTGTGTTCACACATTCCTCCAACCAATGGGCCTGCTCTGCCTTATCCCTACATCAGCATAGGCTGCCATCCTCACAGCTGACTGCTGACATCACCTCATTAAATACACATGGGCTTCAGAAGTGAGACTTGCAACATCATCATTACCCTTAACCCTACAGTTATAGTGAGCATTTCACAATCTTTGACACAATCATTTTTAAAAGGAATAGTTTGACCTTTGGACAGAGTCAAGCAGCCACCCCAGACTGGTTCCAGTCTTTATGCTAAGATCTTATGGCTGTAGCTTCATACATATGCAGATGTGAGATGTATCAAATATCTTTTCATGAGGAATGTGAGGAATGCCCAAACCTCTGTACTCAATAAATTTGCTTTAGATAAAATGATAAGAACAGCTAAGTCTCTCACCAATTACAACTGGGATGCCAGCCAAAGGAAAGGAAAACCCAAAGGAAAACATTCTAACCTGCATATGAACCAGCCAAACCTTCGACTTGCGTTACCTTTAGAACATGGCACACAGCCCCACATGGACAAATACTGATTACATTGTTACCTAGCTGATGCTATGTCATGATCACACAGCCAGTCCGATGGGAGTAATATAATCATCCTGTGTCATGTGACCTTTGTCCTTGGCATCAACACCTCAGACTTCTCTTTACCCAGTGCTGTACTGGGGCTTGTTTTATAACCCTGTAATTTTTCCCTCTTTTGGGTTGTGGTGAATAGGGTCAAAAGGATTTGTTTATTTTCACCTTTTTTTAAAACATCTTTCACCACATTTTGAAACCAGATAGTTGGATATTTGAGATTTAAAAGGCTCACTAAAACAGAAAAATGAGCCTGCAGACTTACTAATAACGAATCATTATGAAAAGAAAAAAAAAACGACAGCAGAAAAGGAAAACAGTGGATTTCCTTCTGGCTGGTCTGACATTACACGGATGTTTAACTTAGGGTACCAAGGGACGTGAACTACACACACCAATACACCAGGCTCAGGAGAGTGAGAGAGCGAACAAGAAAGAAAGAAAGAGAGCGAGAGTTGGAGAGAGAGAGAGGTGGGAAGGGAAAATGTAATTAATCACACTACAGTCATTGGGCCTGGTCTGGTGGAGGTGTTCTTGAGTTCTGGATTTGTTTGTCGGTCTTGAGAGAAAGGCTAGTGGAACGGGAATGCTGTGTACGGGTGGTCAATTAGTTTACAAATTTCAGCTGTGACAGAGGCATTCTCCTTGGCCCCGGCCCCAAACTCCTGCCATCCCTGACCAAACCACATCATATCAGGGCCCAAACCTCATGCCGTGATCTGAGGCATTCCCCGGGCTGCAACATAAAGAAGCTCACTCGATTTAGCCCGAGCTAAATCAACAGCCTTTTACTGTGGTTACACATGACTGCCTTACATGCAGGATTTGCCAGCGCCTTTAGCCCTTTTTCAGTTTTCCATGCGTCCGACGTACTTCTGAGAACCAGACCTCCACCGCTCTGTCGCTCTGCTTTTTCGCTTTATTGGGATCACAACATGTTGCAGATCCTTTCCAATTTGACTGAATGTAGGAATACGTCTCCGGACAGATCAGTATAAAAGCCAAATAAAAGCCACATAAGCAGACTGAAATCAAATCTTAACATGGGATTAATATGCTTTCCTCGAACCTGTCATGAATAGGGCATGGAACCAAGAGTGTCTCCTGGTATGTAAGTGCTTCAGATGATAAAATGCTGGCGGCAACAATGATCAGGTTTTCCATTTGGACAAGGGGAGTAATGCTTAGCTTTTACTACACTCGCTTGACGAATGAGTACGGTATTAGCTGCAGTGGGCACCTAGCTGTACATTTACACACACACGTACACATACAAGTGTTGATAGACAAAACCCCCACAGTGGATCACACCACACTGCTGTGGTTAATCTGGTTATTAACACTATTATCCATCATCTTCTGTGATGCAGTGACAGAGTGCCCGCTGGGATTAAGCAGCTGACTGATTTAGTGTGAAGGTTTCAACATGCACAGGCAAACTGGATCATTATTCTACATCTTCACTTGCATACAGATGATTTCTATGCACTACAATCATTACATAACAAACTGTGAACACATATGTACACCTTTTGGCACTGTCTACTGCCTGCAAGGGTGTGCACAGGTATATTTTTAACCACATAATGTGCATTTGTGCTTACAAGGATCTAGGGCTGAACGATTAATTGTTTTCAAATCGAAATTGCGATTTGAAAAAACACGATTAGCTAATCGTGAAGCTGGCGATTAAAATGTAGGTTTATTATAGGCCTACAGCGCATCCGACGCGTTTCAAACAGTCATGCAGTTACAGATTCATTCCGTTGTCATCCTCGTGTGACAGATCTACTTGCCAATCACAAGCGCCATGCCCCTCCTGTTAAGGTCCCACTCACTAATCAGAGCGGGTACAGGGCGTGTATATTTTACAACAACAAACGAAACTGGAGGATAACGTGGGATCATGGTAAGGCAAACCGACACAGGCGGCAGCTGTGCCGCGGTTTTGTCCGGCGTCAACTCACACTGAAGTGTTTTAGCAGCAGAGCGTTTAGCCCTACGTTGTTGCTGGGCTGTTAATTTCTCATTTCATATGCTTCAAATACAGATAACAGCCCTCTGTGAGACAGTTTTGAGTCGCTCTTGCAGGCTACATATCCCACATGGAGCATTTCAGAATAAGGGCGTTTTGCCTTTCTGATTTTGCTGACATGTTCAGATTTTGTTAATTTGTTCAGTTGTCTTTGTTTTTTGTGCTTCTATCATGATTAGGTAAGCTACGTTGTTAAATTGTTTCTTTTTTGTCTGTTTTGTTGATATACAATCGTGAGTCTGCACATGGTGCTTTATTTTGAAAATCAACCAGATTCTCTATGCCGTTCTGTGTCTGAATTCCTGCCCGGTTTATCTGCTCTGTGCTACTTCACGCTGCTTCCATCAAAAATAGACTGGCAGTAAATATTGAACTTTAGCTGAACTTTTTTTCCCTTTTAAATCGCAAATCGAATGGCAGAAAAATCACAATTAGATTTTTTCCTCAAATCGTTCAACCATACAAGGATCTGTATCAGTACACTTACACGTCCACTTATTCACTACTAAAGTATGCATCCCTATCTGGCTCTGTGTACGTGCAGAACATTGTGCTGACTACAATGAATGCACTCCAATACATTTATCCCACTGTGTGTGCGTGCCGATTTGCATGAATATGTGTGTGGGAGTTCATGACAGGAAATGTAAAGGTTAAGGTAGTTCCTTAGAAACAAAGGCTTCTCCGCATCTCCACGGGTCCTTTCACTTCATAGGCGCCGAGGCTCCTGCCCACATCACTGTAACGCTTAAGAGGGAACATCCTGGCGCTGCCACCCCCACCTTTCCCTTCACCTTTTATAGATGGCTTGCCCTATGGTGCATCACAGTCATGTAAATGTATCACATACAATCAAATGTCAGAGTAAAGCTCTGTTAGACTGGGTGCCTTGCTCCTGAATCAAAGACAAAGAACAAGCAATGCTGACCATTATCTGGTTTTCCTCAGCTGTGATTGCAAGAGAACCCATGATTCCCCAGTGACTTACCGACCCCATCAACTCCACCAACCCTTCACTGCTGTTTTATAATCTTATCTCTCTGGGCCTCACCTTACATTCTGTCCCATCACCATCCCTCCCTCTCTCCTTCTCCATCTTTCATCCCTCCTCTATTTACATGCTCTTACTCTGTTTTACTGCCGCGATTGAAAATTGAGTCATAACTTCCTGACGGCAGTGTTCAAAGGTCCCCCCCCCCCCCCCCCCCATGTCTTTCTGTCTGTGTTCCCCGCCCCCTTTCCTCCTCTCCCTTTTGCGAGGCCCCTCATCCAACACGCCCAGCACCACATTCCACAGGCAGTGGGAGCACCTTCAAACTCTGCACAAGCATAGCAGATCACCACTCGCAGCGGCACGCAGGGCGACCAAGCCCCGGCCTCAGCTGCCACGGGGCCTCAGCACCAGGCTCAAGTCCTGCCAAGGAGAGCTTTGATTGAGGAGAAATTGCAATGTAGCAGCAACAGAGTCAGCGTGATGACAAGAAAAAAGCAACTGTGGCTCTCAAGGAGCAGAGTGATAACTGTACAGTATTAGCCACCTCCAAGCTGCTGAAACCAGCTCCAAGCAAAACCCTCATGCCACAGTGGGGCCTCTCATGTCTGTGCTAGGAGGCCAGCAGCTGTGATAGTGGGTGCAGGCCCCAGAGCACCTTTTTGTCTGACCCCCAAATCCTTAAGGTCTCAAGTACACTGACACACAACTCCAGTTTCACCCTCCCAAGGCTCCTTATGTGCTTGGCTCTCAAAACAATGACGTCCTTGTAGATGGTCACATACCTCAACACGGCAAATGTACAGTGCTGTGAACAGTCAATTAATCCATTAGTTGACCGACACAAATTGAATAGATTCATATAACTTGACTATTTCCCTCAGTCTTCCTCAGTAGCAGTGGAAGAAGACCCATCAGAAAAAAACACTGCTTGACTTATTTCATTGCAAAGCTCATTTTGGAAATATTTGAAAGTATTTGTTTTACAGCAAGCAAAAATGTGTCAATTAATTAATTACATTTTTACATTAAATAATTCAGACATACTATGACACAGTGCAGTACAATCATTTAGCCAAAAATAACTGTACTATAAAACCTATATGTTGTCACACGTCAGCTTGCGGAGTAGCTCAGATAAGCAACATTCAGAGCAGTTTTGACTGGAATACTTACACCTATATTAGAGACAGATGGACACCCGCACAACCTGCCCTGCTGTGTTATCTGGGAGTGCTCCTGGGTCTTCAGGGTCTTCAACCATTGTGTGACGCTGGATAGCTGCTGCTTCTCACCTGAAGTACAGACAACATACAGTATTTTCACAAAATGAAAGTATAGACACCAAGATCAAGATAGTAGTGTTGTGTAGCTAAAACAGGACTGTGAGCTACACCCCATCCTGATAAAATAATTACAGAATATTTGGAATAAAGCAATTATGTAATCAGTGAGGCAGGTATATTTTACACATCTGTCCTTTGTAGGATAAGATGCATCATCACATTTTCAGTTGTCCTCACAAGGCTTTACATTAGACCACATAGTGATGACCCATGTTGCTAAAATTATTATCCAGCACACCAATAGAAGGCATCTGGTTTGGGAAATGTGAGGGACCTACATCAGTCCCGTTTTCATGTGTGTGAACAGAGACAGGTATGTCTCTCCTTTTAGCTGGGCTCCATTGTGAGTCTCCTACCATGCCTGCATGCTGTGATTATCAATGCACACATCTGGATGGACTTAGTCAAGGAATTCTATAAAAAAACCTAATGGGCTCTTCTAACAATTTTTGAAGACTGATTAAGAGCCGTTTCAAATCTTGTTCACATGAACGAGTTCCATCTGTGATCTATTTAAGTTTTCACTGGATTTGTCATCTACGTTGCTTGGTCCTTTTCAGTGTAATGGGAGGTTTGGGGGAGACTTGCGCTGTAGGTAATGTGCAATACTGCTGAATATATTCTTATGGGGCAGGTCAAATAGATAAACATGTAGGGCTCCTCCACCACTGACGAACTGGGCATACATGGAAAATACGGTAGATATTTCTGTACAATGACAAGGATCCCAGCTTCCTTAACATGCATGTAAATACTTAACATTTCTCAGGTATGGTCATAAATCAGCATTTCCCACAAATCTGTTCTCAAAGCATGTTTGCAAACCGTTGTTTTTGTTCCACTGTCACTCACTTTTAGTCTTGCTAATCATAAAGTAAAACTGCTAACTGCTACTTGGAGTCACGCCAGCATGAAAGGCAAATTTACACCTTGCACATTAGCTCAGTTACACCCAGCATACAGTCTGGTGAAGTAACAAACAGGCCTTGCTTTTAAGGCCTATTTGCCTTCTAATAGTTTGACCCTTATGTTTTATGAGGGACACTAACACACCATGAACTACATTTGTTACAAATTAGGCTTCCTAGTGTCGTAAAGTTGACACCTGCCACTTCAAACCTTTCTTTGGAAAGGCAAGCGGCCATTGATAAGCGACTAGAATAAAATAGCTGCATTTATACTAATACATGTTAATTAGCTAACGTTAGGTCGTGAACCGTTAAGAATAATGTATAAAAGAATTGCTGTGGTTTGTTAACTTATTTTTATTTAGATAATCAACTAACATCACAATGCACTCACAAGGTTTCTTACAGTCTAAAAAACACATTTTGTTCAAATAAATATCTCACAACTCTTATTTCCACCCCAATGAGAAAATGTGTTTTTACCGTCATTTCGCCACAAGATGTCGCCAGACTCAACGTCCCTCCACTTTTAATGCTGCATTTATGTGCTTCTCGTAAGGTTGTATTTCTGGACGTGAAGAGATGCAAGTTATCGATTATTTTAATACATCGAGTGCAGGGCATAAACCAATTGAACAGCGGTATGAAGTATGATAAAAAAAAATATTCTGCGTGTATGTATAAATCAATTTCCTCCTAATTACTTTTCTGGTAACAAATTCTTAAAAACTTCCCACTTTATAACGGCAAATGAATTTCATTATCAGACGTTGTCAGTAATGGTTGTCAATGAATCACAAGTGAGTCTCAAATATCTGCCCTGACAGTCCTTTTTGACACATCGTTCGTTCCCGAGACTGCTAATTTGACATTTCCTACAACACTTAAAGAGATGATGAGCCCGGATATGACCGCATAAACGCAGGACCCAAACTTTAGCTAGCTGTAGCACAACAGCTAAGTAAAGCTATCAGTATTCAAAATAAAAGCTGTCGGAAACACGTTACGTTGTGTATCACCGATTTCGACGGTGGTATGGAGCTGTAGGCAGAGTTTATAAACAGAGGTAATAGTGTCAAACTGGGTTTTACTCTTGCATGTGTGGAAATAAATATCAATAAACGTCATTTTGGGTTAAAGCTACTTAGCCAAATTGTTTTTTCGGTAGCTAGCACTAACAGTACAACGTACATGTTTTTTATTTGATACAATCTGTACTACATATGATAAATGTGCCACTATACTTTACTGTAAAATACTTCATTTTAACACGATTTTACAAGCCGCTGTAACGTTAGCTGATAAACAGAGCTGATGAATTGTTAACTTAAGGGAAATATAAATAGGTGGGACAGCAACTGAATGAAAGCTAACGTTAGCAAACTAGCGAAATCTCACCTCCACACAGTTTGGACTAGAATACGTTACTACTTATCAATCGAGTTCAGTGAAGATACTTGCTGTCCAATTCAAGTTAAAAGGCAGAAACATTTTGACGGGTTGGAAACGTTGTTACCCCGTCTTCTTTGCAATCAATGACACTGCACCCCTGACTACTGATGTTTTTCAGTGGTGAGGAATGGTCTGACTGCAGCAGTAAAGATGCACAGCCGTCTGCAGGAGTTGAAGAAGGAAGAGGAGACTCTCCTCAAAATCAAAGTCATGCTACAAGACCAGCTGAACAGGTTGAAGGTAAGCGATAATTCACAGTATGGGTTTTTCGGGTCTGTGTCTGTGATACCTGTGGTTTATATATCGTGTTCACTTTCAGTTTGAAGAAGGGGCCTTGAAATCTATCATTAGTGCTCAAACAGAAGAAGGAGCCTCTGAACGCTCATCCCCAGAAACTGAGGTAAGTCACTGTACAAGACAGAACATCTGGGGACAACCCCGCTATTGGCTCAGATATCACTATCTGTTAAATTACAATATTCTTAATAATATTGTTGCTTGAGTTTGTTGAAATTAAGATTCAGATGTTTTCTCTGTGTCTACAACAATACACTATTGTGCTGTTTTTTGGGGGATGTTTGCAGATCTGCATAATCTCACTAAATACATTTACATCCATACAAAAAACAGACAGGAAATCAGGTAACATGTTTATGTTGCTGTAATCTCATTAATTTAAACCTCCAGTTTACGACTAATATATACAAAGCCAAGTAAATATTTCTCCAGCAGATATGTTGCTGAGTTTACTGGGTTTTTAAACCCTTAATTTGGGGGCAATATCAGATTACGACACTGCACTTAAAGGCAACACCAAATAACTTTTGCTCTCTTTGAGAATGTTAGAAATGGCTTTATTCTTCTTGTCTCGAAAGCTCTAGTATTTTTTAAAACTCTGAATTAGAATCTCCTTTTTGCCTCTAATGTACCATACACTAGCATTTCATTAAACATAAACTAAGAGGCATGATCACGATTGAACTGTATTTCAGATATGTCTGCATGTTTGTAATACATGCTAAATGCATAATTTTAGATGGTTTGAGACAAGTTTTCCAACATGACTTAAAAGATGTAGTTATATGAAAAAATTGCATTTCACTAAACTGTGACGAGATCATTGTGTGTTTCCAGTTAGACGTTTGCTGCCACTCTGACATGAGCTTTGTTTTGTGTCTTCTTGTCATGAAAATATGACAGCACCCAGAGCAATGTTAACAATCTCTGAAGTTTGTCTCCTGCTCTCATTACTGTTTTAAAGTTCTGTCTTGCACACTTCGTTTGCACTTTTTAAAGTTTTAATTTAAAAGTGGTCATCAGGTGTATGTTTATTATTTGTTTTCGTTGTTTCAGGTTCATATTAACCTAGATGATGAGAGCGAGATCAATCGAACCAAACTGCTACTGAACGCTGCTGTAGATTATGATATGGAGGAAGAGGAAGATGAGGATGAAGATGAAGAGGATGGTGACGAAGAAGACAATGAGCTTGAGTTTGTGCCTGAGGAGGATGAGGAGGACGATTACTGAGACTCTCAGTGTTTCATGGGGCAATATGTGCACCACTGAAGAAGAACCACATGTAAACGGACATCTGTTTATTTGTTCACCTGTTTTGTACTATCACTTAGGACGTTTAAGTTATTTGGATGGAGTTCTAGTTACAGTGTACTGATGTGTGGTGCTAACAGTTTTCAAATAATTTCAGAATTCATGTGTCAAATTTTGTGGGAAATGTCTCACTGAAATGCGGTAAGACAGTGTTATTAGGTACTTATAGCTTACTAGACATATTGTGCATTTTGAGGATTAGCATTAAAATGTATGGCTGGGCCATATAAAAAGATGGTGTGTATGCATTATGTAAGAAAGTATGATCGTAAGCACAAAATAAAATGTTTTGCGTAGGGTTCACCTGACTGATTTTCTTACGACGTACACTTCTATTTTTACGCCAGCATACTTCCCAACATACAGTAATGTTTTTCAGATGTAATGAATGTTTGTTTATGGCCAATAAGAGGATGAAAACATCTTGTTTTTTTTCCATTTCCCTGTCAGATATTTAATTATGGTAATACATATATAAAATTGTCCTAACCTGACCCAGGCGAATGGGTAATGCAGTGCAAACACTTTCCACTAGCAAACCATTCAGCATTTTCTAAACAGCTAAAACAATACAGTGAGCCTCACAATAAGGTCAGCTGTCACACTGACAGCAGGGACAGCTCTGGAGAAGGGTGGTGCTACAACAGACAACGTACAATAGAGATTGCTCCAATAGATATATACAGCTTTCTACCTAGTCTGCTGTTCCAGGAGAACTCCCATTCACCCAGGGACCTGGGCTCAGCACACACACCTGCTGCAAATGAGTTCTGTATAAGGTACACAGGTAATTGGACATATATTTCAGTACATTTGCTATTGTGAATCAATTTTTATGGAGTGATGGTGATGATGGATTTTGAACTAGTGATCTAGTGAAAAATCATTTGCAGAAGGAATACTGAAACAAAAATGCTCAACGGATAACATTATATAGCTGGGGAAAAACAATGGTAAACATGGCCAGGAATGTGTATTACAATTAGTATTCACAAATCCAGTAACACAAGATTTTAGCTTATATGTCCAAGCTTGACCATGTTTCTCATTTAAAATTCCTAACATTATTATACATCATAGTGCAATGTCTTCAACTTTGCGTATGATAAATCCTATCACAGATTGCAGATATATGAGACTGATATGTGATATGATTCTCCTGAACACCTGAAATTGAAATTAACAAAAAGAATCATGTTTACATTGACAATGACAGTGACAATGTAAGAAATCGCATTAATTGCCTTATAATTGTCAAATGATGAAGTCATGGAAGTGCCTAAATGTGTGGAACGGTTCATCCGCTGTCATGTGATTGTGCCCTGTAAATATATCAACCTCTCTAACATTAACTTTGCTTACAGAGGTGAAACCATCGTTTGTATGGGATCTGTATGCCTCAGCAAGATGAGCTCACACTCCATTGAGTTTGAAAAGGGGTATTTGGCTCTGCATTAGGGATGCGGGACCCCCCCGTAGTCCATCACATTGGATGCTTTCAGACTGTTTGATGACAGTTTATTGTCAACATTATACATTTTGTTCTTTTAGTGATTTTGATTTTTTCCCCATTTTAAGCATATGTGCATATGTGAGGAAGACCAAGCTTAGTATTGTGATGAAGTGGTGATGCTGAATGGTTCTCATCTGTGTGCAGACGTCAGTGAGGGACTGGAGCAGAACCAGACAGTGACTGTGCTGCAGGCTCAGGAGTACCATGCTGCCCTGCTGTTTATTCAGTGTGTGTCATGTGTTTATGTTGGTGCTGTGTCTGTCTTCGGCTGAGGACTTCGACTGGACAAAGAACGACCACAGCTCCTTCTATTATGGCACTTTTCCAGCTGGTAAACGCAATTTGTTCTTATCTTCAGTGGGATGCAGTTCATTTAGTAGTTGGTGATTCTATCCCTCCTAAGAGCTTGTTACCTAACGCAGAGTTGAATGGTTGCTGCCAATGTTGTATTTATTAGGATTTTCATGGGGTGCCGGCAGTTCCGCCTATCAAACAGAAGGAGCCTGGGACAAGGATGGGAAAGGACTGAGCATCTGGGATGTGTTCAGTCATAAGAAAGGCAAAATCCAACAAAATGAAACAGGGGATTCCTCTTGTGAAGGCTACCACAAAGTTAAGGTGGGGTGATCAGGGATGGTGTGTCTGAGACCTAGGACCAAAACAGAGGGCAGCAAAAGGAAATCTAAATATTTCACTCCATTTGTGTGTGTGTGTGTGTGTGTGTGTCTTGTACAGGATGATGTTTCTTTGATAAAAGATCTGAAGCTTAACCACTATCGCTTCTCCATATCCTGGCCTAGACTCATCCCCACTGGCATAAAGTGTGAGTAACTGCTGTTAATTCAAGTCAAGCATATATGATTAAATGTGTTAAGTGCTAAAGGTGAGAAGTTAACTACTTTTTGATACAATTTGCAGCTGACCATATAAATGAAAAAGGAATACAGTACTATAATGAACTGATTGACCACCTGCTAGAGAACAACATCACTCCCATTGTTACTCTGTATCACTGGGATCTTCCTCAGGTTGGTACACAAAATATTCATCAGACCTAACTTCAGCCATTTTGCAATACAGCACTATTCTTCTTTGCCAAGTTTATGTACTCTTTGCTTTTCTAGGTCTTACAAGAGAAATATGGTGGATGGCAGAATATAAGCATGGTCAATCATTTCAATGAATACGCTAACCTGTGCTTTGAAAGATTTGGCAACCGAGTCAAGTACTGGATCACTTTCAACAATCCATGGGTAGGTTCAAAGTCAGTTTCTAGCAGATTTTACATCCACACCCACCTTGTAACATATACATTATTGTTTTTAAATAATAGAGCTTGGATAAATATGTTTACATTATATGTACGCTATGTATGTACAGGTATTATCAACCTGTTACAGAAAGTACTATCATGACACTACTAATCTGCTTCAGTCTGTAGCAGTTGAAGGCTATGAGACAGGTGAGCATGCTCCTGGACTGAGGCTGAGAGGAACAGGGGCATACAGAGCTGCCCATCACATAATCAAGGTAGGACAATAAATACACAGCATATTCAATTATCAAAAACGCTTAGCAATTAATGTGAACTGAAATGTAAATCATATTCACACCATCTTTTTCATAGGCACATGCTAAAGTTTGGCACAGTTATGATACACAATGGAGGGCAAAACAAAAAGGTAAACAAGGTTAAACTCTTGAAAGTAACACTTGACTCAACAGTACTGTCTGTCTTAGTCTTGAGAGCTGTTGTCCACATCTGCAGGTCTGGTTGGCATCTCTCTGTCTGGAGACTGGGGAGAGCCGGTGGATATCACCAACCAGAAAGACATCGAAGCAGCTGAGAGATATGTCCAGTTCTACCTGGGCTGGTTTGCCACACCCATCTTTCATGGAGACTACCCTCAAGTGATGAAAGACTTCATTGGTATGTTCAACTGTCAACAGTTCATGCCGAAGGAATATTGGTCACTGGGGAATTAACTAATAGCTACTTGTTACCGATTGTGCAGGAAGGAAGAGTGTCCAACAGGGGCTCGGGACGTCTCGCCTGCCCACATTTTCCCCCCAAGAGAAGAGCTACATCAAGGGGACCTGTGACTTCCTCGGCATTGGTCATTTCACCACCCGCTACATCACCCAAAAGAACAACCCAACAGGTCGTAGTGGCAGCAGCTACTTCACTGACCGTGACCTGGCTGAGCTGGTTGACCCACGATGGCCTGATCCCGGGTCTGAGTGGCTCTACTCCGTGCCTTGGGGTTTCAGACGTCTTCTCAACTTTGTCAAGGTGACTTATAGGCCTGTTGACATTTGTGCTGTACCTGAAATGATCTTGGCACGTTGCAACCCTAGTTAAAGTAATTAAGACAACTTATTGCACATCATATTGATTTGTTTCTCATCTAGACTCAGTATGGAAACCCAATGATTTATGTGACTGAGAATGGAGTCTCTGAGAAGATGTTGTGCACAGAGCTGTGTGACGAATGGAGGATACAGTATTATAAAGACTACATCAATGAGATGCTGAAAGGTGAATGAGCTCATACAGTAAAAAAAAACACCTGTGCATTTCTTTTGTTTGGTAAGCAAATTTATTCTGTCTAATCCAGTTGTTGTGGTCAAGTCATTTGGTGTTCTCTGTGGTGTCACTCAGCTATCAAAGATGGAGTCAATGTCAAGGGCTACACTGCATGGTCCCTGCTGGACAAGTTCGAGTGGGATGAAGGCTACTCCGAGAGGTTTGGCTTGTACTATGTGGACTTCAGGAACAAAAACAAGCCTCGCTACCCTAAAGCTTCTGTCCAGTTTTACAAACGCATCATCAGCTCCAATGGATTTCCCAATCAGAGAGAGGTAAAAGACCTAAGGTGGTCACTATACAAAGCCCTGCTTCTAATCCTTTCTAGACATCCAGATATTCTTCTGAAATGAAAACATTAAGATTAATTTCAGTGATGGTGTTTGATTGCGTTGTAAACAGGTTGAAAACTGGAGGAGGAAGGCTGTTGAGACCTGTTCCTCAAGCAACCAGCTCCTAGCCGCAGGTCAGTTTGTCTATAACATCCCTGACCATGTTTATCAGTGATCAGAGGTGAACTAGCTGGGGTAAACAAATAAAGATTCTGACCTAAATATCAAAAACATGTGAATAGTTTTTAAATCCAAATAAGATCAAGAATAATAATTTGACATGACTATGTGTTGCTGTTCGCCTCAGAAAACACATGAACAAATTATTAGTTAAAAAAGAATGATGGAAATACAAAAATTAATTAATCAAATCTGTTAACAGAATATCTGAGATATCTTCTTTGTTTGCCCCTCCAGCTAGAAGAAAAGCCAAGGAACATGCAGAAATGCCAAAGGTTTGGCCAGTGCATGATGAAGTTTAGAACTTGAGGGTATATGTCATCCATTAATGTCATTTTTTGTGTTGTTGCTTTGTTGATTATGTGGTTTTAAGTTTGACTAACAGAATTAAGCCTCTGCAGTTTAACACTAAGACATGCCTCTGAAAAAAAGCTTGTACTCCCTCTATTCATTCATCTGACGTTTTACTGCTGTGCTTAAATCTAATAACCAAGAGCAGCCCATTTAATTTCACAGCAGCTTTGACAAAACATGTTAAGCATAAAGCGTATCTGTGGACTTGTGTCCACGGGGGAATTTCACAAAGCAGGTTTATACATTTACCCAGATAACATAAAACCTGTCTGTCACCGATCTGGATTGAATTTAAAAAACAAAACTTCAACATGAGAAACATGGTTCTGTCATGCCCGCTGATCACTGTTAATATTAAATAACTTTTCAGAAGACAAAACTTTTAAAAGTTATCTGGCTATGGTGCAAATGCTGCTTTCCGAAATATACCCCAGTAGCGGCATGCAGTTCTCAAAGGGTTAAAGTGCCGTTAATCAACTCTGAGTACTTTCTCTTTTTTTATTAGAGGAACAGCGGAGTACTGCTGCCAATATTCTAAGACTTATACATGGTAAGGAATCACTCATGCTCACTTTAAATTAGATAAAAGATGATTTGATGTAGGGGAAAAATATTAACCCTTTGAGTGCTGTGCTTGAGCATCATTACTCGCTTCATAAGCAGTGTCTTAACTACATAATAATGCTACTGAGTTGTTAATGTGTGTGTGCGTGTGTGTGCGTGTGCTTTGCAGACCCTTTGACCAGCCACATGGAGATGGTAACTGAGATCGTTGTTCCCACTGTGTGCACACTCTCTATTTTGCTCAGTGCCATCTTCCTTATGTTCCTGCTGCGGAGGCGGAACTAGAAAGGAGCTCTCAACAGTGTGCATGTTACAATCACAAACATCAGCACACACACACACTGTAAATGCATCTTTAATAGATAATGTGTGAACATAATACATTATTTGAACTGAATTTCAAAAGAATTAGTGACTTCATTAATTTGATGTGCATACAGTGTTTGCTGTAAAAACATTGATTTAGCCTCTAATAATGAATTTAGTACCAGACAATCAAAACAGTGTGGACAGCACTGCAACATGTTGGATTTTCTTATTACAATATTGCTGTGGAATATTATCATTGCAAACAGCCCTTGTGATCTACTGTACTTTGTGATTTCATTTGTTTAAAATGGGGAGATGTTCAGCAAAAAAACCCTCTTCAAAATCTCTATAAATTGCTAACTGACTGAAAGTTGATCATTTAAAACATTTGACAAAAATACAGTATATTACAGAAAGCCCTATATTGGCCCCTGTTCACTTTGTGATGCCGTATAAGGCCATCGGGCTTGTTGATGAGAACATCAAAAATGACAATAAACACCTCCTTTGTTGTTCAGTTGTGCTCTGTGTAAATTCATGCAAAGTTTACGAGACTGCAGCACACCATGGTGGAGAAGAAGGCGGGATCCTCACCGTCCCCATTCACTGTTTCATTTGGATAATCTAAACACAGGGCAGTCGAAAAAGAGAAATGTTATCTGTACTTTACTGAGCAAGTAATATGACACTATATGACATGTATACTTGTACACTATATTTAGAAAGGTGCATAAAGATCACCTGTTTCAAAGATGACATGATCAACCAGTGGTCTGTCACTGAGCTGTAAGGATGTCCTGACCTCACGAGGACCGTGGCCACTGTACACCTCGACTCCCCACACTACTGGGTGCTCTCTGTGAAACACATACAAACATGAGGGATGAGACAATGGACCCTGTTGAAGCGTTGCAGTTGGCACTTAAATGTATATTAGGTGATCACCGGCAGAGGGCAGCTCAACATACTGTTGTTGTGAATCTATCAAAAAACGCAGGATACGGTGGGTTTGAATCAGTACAGCTGTATTTGGAGGCAGGCAGGCCACTTTCACAACAGTGTGAAAGCAAACGTGTTTTTCCCCTCATGAGCACCTCTGACTACAGCTGACTAGGCAAGAATCTTATGCAAGGTACAAAATGGCCCCCACTACCTTTCTCTAGTTAGACTGCTAAGCACAATTGTGTTGTGTGTGTGTATTTCTCAGGCAAAATCACAGAAGTCTTACCTTCTGTTTCAATTTTTTGACACCCGTTTGTGTTAAAGCATGAATGAAAAGACAAACATCTCTATTTCATTTACAGTTTTCTTTGGATGTAATGAAGCAGTTAGTGCACAAAGGCTTTTATTCCTTACTTCTGGTAGAAATGGCTGATCAGCGCGGGTTTGATTTGCAGCTTGAATTCATGCTCCTCGTCGTATGGGTATGATTTGTAGTGCTGCAAGCACGATCTTTGAGAAATGAAATTGTCTACTTTATTGTCATCTTTAGGCAAGTACATTTTACACACACACATATCACTGGAAAAAAGTTTAATTGATTTACTGTGTGAGAAGGAAGAGCCGGTCGTAGGGCAAACCCAGGAATGTACTGCAGGTCACAATTATTTCCAGCAGATGGTGCAGTTTCCGGAGCCGGATCACTTGCTCCTGCAGGTCAACCTCTGTGCTCAGGTAATAACACTGCGGAGTATAAATATCAAATTCAGAATATTTTGTTGACAGTCATTTGAAAACAGTAAAAATAGGCTTAAACTTACTAAATGGTTTAGAGTTGTCAATTCTTCACCTGAAAAAACAAACAACAAATAAACAGTTACAAGTAAAGTTTGTGTTTAATGATTAATGCAGTGATGTTACATCTTACTGTAATCACATAGGAAAGGACATATAGTTACAGACAATAGGGTGACAAGTTAGAGATTACCAATAAGGTAGTTGATGTAATCCTTTCTCATCTTGTCCAGACCCATCTCTAGCAGCATGTGGACAGGGGTGAGACCTGTGAGAGACACATGATCAATCTGTTGGTGGTAGGACTGCAGGATGAGCTTGCTGAGGGAGCTGCTGCTGTCTCTGTGAATCTGGAGGAAGTAAAAAATAAATAAATAAATAAATAAATAAATAATGAATGAATAAATACACTTCACACAACTTTTTCTTTTCTCAGTGATAAACCGTTTTCAGAAGCCGCATCATTTCATACCCAGGGTTTGATGTCACCGTATCTTAGAGCATCAATGACCAGTTTCAGGCAGTCTCCAATGTCTTGATATGAAGTCACGCCTGTAATGATCAAACAACACGGAGGAAAACGGTTGTCACTGTCTGTATAGCTAAATCAAATTAAATCTTGTTTCTTTAATAGAGGAATTGCCTCACTCTTTCTCATCCGGACCCACAGTTGCTCCACAAAATCCAAATCGCCTCGTTCCAAGAAAGAGCTGAAAATGGGAGTGTCCGTGTCAGTCTTCAGCTTTAGGGTCTTCAAAAAAAGATGAAGAAGAAAGAAAGCTACCAAATTTATTCTGAAGTGAATTGTGAAATATCCCTTGATTTTAACACTACAATACCTCAGCCTTTGTTGCAGCCTGGTCCGGCTGTGTCTTTGCAGTGCTCTGAAGCTCTGAAGGAAAAAGACAAAAGATTATATTCTTTTTAACTACCTGCATTAAAATCATAGCAAAAGGTGCATTGATTTCACAAAGCAGATACCTTCTAGGAAGGCCTTGGTCAAATGTACAGCTGACATGCTTTCCAAAGGTTCCATCCATTCAGTCTCACCAGTTCTCAAACCATCAGCAAGAGTCTAAAATAATAGGAATCTGATATATTTAGTGGTGTATTTGTGTAATGATAATCACTGTCATTCATCTTAGACTACTACTACAAACCTGAAGAAACTCTAGCTCCCTGTACATCTCAAACATTGGGCTCCTCATGTCCCCACTGGTGACTTTGATATTCTGAATGTGAACAAAGATAAATAAGTACACAAAATGTACTGCTTTATTTTGTATCGTAAATGGTATTATTAAATTAAAAGTCAACAGTATACATCTAAAAAGTAAGTATTTATGGTAGAGAAAGTGTATGTTTTGAGTGTGAACTACTGGTGCTTACCAGTGTTGCTGTAGAGGACAGAGGTGGGGTCTCAAGGATACTCTCCACATGGCTCCATTTGAAATCCACTGTCACGCTGCTCTGTGACTCAATGACAGTGTTTTCAACAACACTGGAGCCAAACAAGGTAAACCTGGCACTGCCTTTAATGGCCATCTGGAAGAATTGAAAGATGTAAGTGAATGAACAATCATTCATTGACTTAAAAGAAAGGATGCACACTCACTTACCGAGGATGGGTGGTGCCTTTTCTTGTGCTCTTGTTTAAGCTCGTCCAAGGTTATGAGAGATCTTTTGTCCACAGTTGAGTCTGACAAAATTTAAGTTGGAATTAAAAAACAAATGCCAGAAACATAATAATTCACACAGGAGGAAAATAAAAACAAATATTCCTATTACTGATAATGTTTCATGGATGCGCTATACCTTTGCAGGTAACAGAGTATAATTTGACACCAGATACTTTATTGCCAATGCAGAATGTTTCAGCTCCAAACCAGGTTGTTCCAGCTGGATCAGACTTGTCACATCGCACCCACAGAGGGTGTAAGGCAGGGTTTTCGTCCACAGCTGACACATTAGCATTTTGAGATAATGTGTACCAAGAAAGCAATTGCCTTTAAAAAGAGGAAGAAAACAATTAGATACACAGGTTATATAATCTTACTAGCACTTGCTTTATTTAGTCGAAGTATTCTTCTAGGTCTCAGCATTGGTCACCTTGCTTTCATAATTGTGAGCGGCTGGGGTCCCAATTCTGTCTGGAGTACGTTGGCATCATCATCATCAGCAGCAGCAGCAGCATCAGCATCATCATCATCAGTAGTGCCATTTAATGTTTCAGTCATTTGTTGATCAGCAGGTTCGTTTAGTTTTGGAACCTTATGAAATTAAGAAATACAAACATGGTCAAAAGGTCAGCATAGGTAAGGAGTTTTGAATAAGAATGTTTGGGGAAAAAGGGCAACCACAGGTCTCTTGAGTTATAGCCCTTGCTTTTCAGAATCAGAATCCGCTTTATCGCCAGGTATATGTACACATACGAGGAATTCGACTCAGGATTGTACATTTACAATGGTGCATGAATGTAGTACACACTGATCAAACTAGTGATGTGTTTCAGAAAAAAACATGCAACAAGAAGCTACAGACCTCTAAAATCCAACACAATGTGTTCATTTATTCAATGTACATTGTACACAGTAATACTTGTCTAGGGCTTGCAGCCACCCTGAATACATTTAGTGAGTCCCAGCATTTACAATACTCACTGCTTTTTCACAGATGAAGACTGGCTGGTTGCCACAGCACAAATTCAGCACAGAGATCCTGTCACCATACATCTTTAACATTTGGATGTCCTCCTGAAACCCAACAGATACAGTCTCAAAATCACTACTATAACATAACAATAAATACATAACATTAACGTTACACCACATTGGGACAATATTTTACTTTAACGTTAGGTCAAATTAAATTAAAGGTTACCTCATATGTACATGGATCATTGCTTTCCCCATTTTGAAGAGACCTTCGACCAAACGGCATAACACACATAACACAGCATAAATTAACCATACTTGGTAAGTAGTTCGTGGTTATTGAAGCAATCAAATAGAAAACATGAGCAAAAGTCTGACAAGTCATCCACTGCCTAGCGGTAATTTAATGTTAGCTAAACAAAGCTAACGTTAGTAACGTTAACGTTAAGCTTTCAAATGTACACTCACCGAAGAATATTGTAAAACTCCTTAACACTCGATATCAACTTTGTGCCCATTGCAAATGTAACGTTATACAACACAACTCCTGTTACGGAACAAACAATGTGGAGAAAATACAAAAGGTAACTGCGTTTAACAGACTTTAGTGGTGAAGTTTCAGCTGCTACTGTTGATATTTTGACAGTCGCGCGCTCACTCTGGCTCTGACGTCATGTTCTTCTTCTACTTCTTCGTTAATGGCGGATTGCAAACAACTTTTAAGTGCATCCCGCCTCCTACTGTACTGGAGTGTGTAATATCATCTCACTCAACTACAAACCCTAAGAAGGTGCTCTCATATTCTGTTCACCAACCCATTGTCTTTAAGAAATTTAAATAATGCCTTCCTGGTGATTCTTATGCCCTTTTCTTCTCCCTCTGTTCCCAATACCCCCATCAGATTGCATTCCCGCCCTGCCTCCTGAACCCTATCTTGAAATATCTGTCTTTCCAGCTCAAACAATATGCAGTGCAAAATGAATGTTCAACATTTTCTTTAACCCCACAGTTTTCACTATTTCTTTTCCCCAATAAAAACAAGGTACCATTCAGTCCTGTGTGATCTACTCTCAGTCTTGTCATTATAATTCCCTCCCGCCTGGTCCTTTCGCTATAATTTTTATTACTGACAGACTTTTGTATTTTATAGTAACTCCTTCCTTTCCTGTCTTCCTCCCACCATTTCTGCCATATTTCAATACGTTTCTTCTTAATGGCTGCTTTTCCTTCTCCTAGTGGTATTTGAACTGTTATTTCCTTTCGTAATGCCTCTTTTGCTAGTTTGTCTGCAATCTCATTTCCTGGCAACCTGTCCAGGGTGTACCCCGCCTTTCGCCCAATGTCAGCTGGGATTGGCTCCAGCCCCCCGCAACCCTGTACGCAGGATAAGCGGTTGACGATGGATGGATGGATGGTCATTTCTATTAATAGGTCTTCTCTGACAGATGTCATTGACTGAATGCTTTTAATAACTGCTAATATCACCCTGACCTCTTCAACCCAATGTAATGCTATGATGACTGCCACTATTTCTGCTGTATATACGGATAGCCTATCTGATAAATCGTTCTGAGATATTTATTTTGAATTCTGGTATATATGTATGTATTCCAAATCCCACACATTCCTGTTTGTTTTTAGATCCATCTGTATAGATTTTTAGATAATTCTGGAAACTTTTTCTCAGATAGCTGCTTGTCCATATTCCCACTTCCTCTATTCCCCATCCTCTTTTCTTTTCCACAATACTTCTGTTTTTATGTCTGGATAGAGCCAAGGTGGAATGTTACTGACTGGATTGGGTGTGGTGAAATCTAATGCTTCCATTCCGTATTCCCTGACTCTCTTTTCCCCCGTCCATCCAAACCCATGCCCACGAAACTTGAAATATTCCCAACAATCCTTTGTTATCTCCTTTGAAGGGTTTTCTTTCCCACTTCCTTTCAATCTAGTTTCTCTCTTCTTAACTCCAGTGGTGTCTCTCCAGCTTCTATGAGAATTGTGTTAATGGGAGTTGTCTTAATGGCTCCAATGCATATCCGTAAAGCTCTATATTGTAATTTATTTATTTTTTCCAATGTTGTTTTTGCTGCTGCATCATATGCAACCATAATCTATTGATGACCTCATGCATGCTCTATATATGTCAATTAGTGACTGTTTATCTGCATCCCAGTCACACCCAGCCACCGCTCTCAGTAAATTAATAACTTGTTTGCATTTAGTTTCCAATTGCTTTATGTGTATTTTCCATGTGTACTTACTATCAAACCACAATCCGAAATACTTAAATTCATTTACTTTTTCCATTGGCTGTTGATATAGTAAAAGCTTTTCTACATGACACCTACGCTTGTTTGTGAACACCATGTAACAGGATTTGCTTGTTGATATTTTAAATCCCCACTTAAATGACCACTTCTCTACTTTCCCTAGTGCTTTCCTAATGTTCTCTAACACATATGTCTCATTTCTTCCTCTCATCCATATGGCCCCAGATGTCATGTTCTTTTCTTCTTCTTTTTTGTTTTATGGCAGATTGCGACTTTTGAAGGTGCATATGGCCACCTACTGTACCCGAGTATGTAGCATGAACTATGTTCGTTGGGACTACTTTATATCATCAAAATTAATTAAATAAATAGATAAACAAATAAAAATAAACAGCCTAATTTAAAAAATCAAAAAACAAAATCCTATTACATATCCCTGTATTTTGGTGGCATGGTGGTCCGGTGGATAGAACTGTGGCCTCCTAGCAAGAAGTTTGTGGGTTCAAACCCCAGTTGCCCTGGCCTTTCTGTGTGGAGTGTGTATGTTCTCCCCGTGTCTGGGTGTGTTCCATCTTCTTCCTAACCTTCCAAAGACATGGCCTAGGTTGATTGGACCCTAAGTTGTCCTTAGATGTGAGTGTGACTGGTTGTTTGTCTATGTGTGGCCCTGCAATGGATTGGCAGGGTGTACCCTACTTTTTACCCAATGTCGACTGGGATTGGTTCCAGCCCCCTCTGCAACCCTGTGCACAGGATAGGCGGTTGACGATGGATGGACAGCTTCTGTGGATCCTTTACCCCTGTGGCTAATAAACCTTCAAGGTTCCACTTCCTCCCTGCCTGACTTATCTTTTGATTTAGCCTCATCCTGTCATCCCCATTTCCTACAGTCGAATAGTACATGTTCTACACTTTCCTTGGACCTACATTCTAAACTTTCATCTGATTGACTTTTGCCCATTAAAAACAATGGTCTATTTAACCCTGTATGATCCTGGTTAAAACGCTCTCCACTCTGCCGTTCCTTCTAGTCACACCCTGTGTATTAACAGATTTTTGCAAACTGTAATATTTCCTTCTACTTTTATCCACATCCCACCTGTCCTGCCATTTCTTCATTATTTCTTTTTCGATTATTGCCTTAGCTTCTCCTTTTCCAAAGGGTATATTTATGACATTGTTTGTCCTGATTGTTTTTTAGCTATTTTGTCTGCTCCCTCATTCCCTTTTATTCCTTTTATTTACCTACGTGGGCAGGTACCCAGCAGAATCTCACATCTATCTGTAGTCTCTGTAGTCTAAATAAACTTTTCTAGCATTAAATCTTCTCTACTAGATTTCATATTTTGAATACCATAAAGCGCTGCTATGGAATCAACACGCACCACTCTGTCTGGTTTTGCTTCCTCTACCCACTACAGTCTTACAATAATCACCATCATTTCTGCCGTGTACACTGACGCCTGATCAGGTAATCTTTTCCCAATGCTTACATTCATTGTTGGTATATATATTCCTATTCCTACCTTGTCCTCTTCATCTTTAGATCCATCTGTATACATATATAAGTATTTGTTCCTTATGTTAACTACAGGGGTCCCTTACATGCACTGACTGGAGTATTTTTGATGGTGACCTGGATATAAAAAATGACACCGTAACTGACTACATCAAGTTCTGCATGGCAACCACCATCCCAGTCAAAACTGTAAGAAAATATCCCAACTCCAGACCATGGATGACCCACCAAATAAAACTCAAACTCAAAGAGAAACAACAGGCATTCCAACGCAAAGACTGGCTCTCACTCAGAGACATTAACTGCTCTGTGAAAACAGAAATAAAAAAGGCTAAACTAGCATACAAGGACAAAATAGAACAAGATTTCAGCAGCATGAACACCAGACTGGCATTCCAGAAAGTCAAAACATAACTGGCACCACGTCAAAATCTAGCACGCCTGCACCCATTGACCCCAACTCAGTCACCAGAGACCTAAACAATTTTTATGCCAGGTTTGACAACAGGAACTTCAACACTGAGTGTGAAAGATTGCTCAGGAGCCTACCCACCCCTGAGCAGCCACGCTTTATCTTCCCCACAGTGGAAGATGTCTACCAGCAGCTCAGGAGGTGCAAAACTGGCAAGGCCCCTGGCCCTGATGGGATCACTGGAAGGCTGCTCAAGAACTGTGCCCTGGAACTCTCTCCTGTACTGCACTCACTTTTCAAAGAATCACTACAAACTGCAACTTTCCCCACTCTCTGGAAAACAGCCACCATCATCCCTGTCCCCAAGAAATCCCGCCCCTCTGAACTGAATCAATACAGACCAGTAGCACTCACCTCAATAATCGCCAAATGTCTTGAGAAACTGGTACTGAACACCATCCTCCCGGCTGTCTGCCCACAGCTGGACCCCTACCAGTCTGCCTACAAGGCCAAAAGAGGAACAGAGGACACTGTAGCATGCCTCCTTCACACTCTACTACAACATCTGGACTCCTCTGGCCATTATGCCAGGATCCTATTTGTAGACTTCAGCTCTGCCTTCAACACAATTCAATGTCACACAATGATTACTAAACTCCACCACCTCCATGTGCCAACTCTCCTCATTCGCTGTATCCATAATTACCTCAGTGACAGACCACAGGCAGTGAAGGGTGGGAAGCACCACATCCACCACCATTACTGTCAACACTGGATCCCCCCAAGGCTGCGTCCTGAGCCCCTTTCTCTACACTCTGTGCACCAATGACTGCATTAGCCCTTCTCCCATTACAAAGTACTTCAAATACTCTGATGACACAGCCATACTCGTCCTCCTCTCTGACACAGAATCAGTTACAGCATATCACCAGTCCATTGCACACTTCACACAGTGGTGTAAGGACAGTAAGGACAGTCACCTCCTCCTCAATGTCACCAAGACAAAGGAACTCATCCTGGACACACCCTCCACCCCTCACTGCCTCATCTCCATAAACAGCCAGCCAGTAGAAATTGTTGACAGCTTCAGGTACCTCGGCATCACTACGGACAATAAACTAAGTTTTGATCACCACATCACAAACATACACAAACAATGTCAACAAAGACTTTTTGTCATTCATAAACTCAGGACTCTATCAGTCAAACCACACCTACTGCTTCTCCTGTACCGTAATATCATTGAACCCATCCTCTTGTACTGTACTACCTGCTACTTCACCATGCTCTCTCTCACCAATAAGAATAACTTTCTTAAAAACACCTCCTCCAAAATAATAGGTCTTCCCACTCCCAACCTGCCAGCCCTCATTAATACCGCCACTGCTCATAGAGCAACTACAATAGTACAAAATCCCAGCCACCCTCTCAACTCATGCTTCACGCTTCTCCCATCTGGCCGTAGATACTCTACAAAAACGCACGCTTCGGAAAAGGTTTTGTACCCTGCGCTATAAGAGCGTTAAATTCACAGACAATTAATGATGTCACTTTTGTGTTATGTGTAGATATGTGTATATTGTCCATATCTGTGTATATATGTGTGTACTATACATAGTTTGCATGTAGAATTCATATTGAAGTTGCTCTTTGTACAGACTGTGAAAGCAAATTTCCTCCACTGAGGACAATAAAGAATGAATCTGAATCTGAATGTACTGACTTACCAGATGTCTAATCCCACTCTCTTCCCATTCGCTTATTAGTTCCAATATATTTAAGTCTATCTCAGGTTTTGGAAATAACCATATAGGGATATTACTAATATGTGTAGGGGAGTCAAACCAGGTATTGTTTCATCTATAGTCCTCTGATTTAGTCTTTGTTACCCAGCCAAAGCCATTACCTTTAAAAGAAGTATGCTCCCAACACTCCTGAATAACAGTCTTTGCTTGGTTTTCATAACCACATTCACGTAAGCGACACCAGTATGTAAGCATGAGTTTATCTCTTCTCAGGTCTGAGGGCACTTCTCCTAACTCAACCTGGATTGCTTTAATTGGTGTTGATCTCATTGCACCTGCACAAATCCTCAATGCGTTGTTAGTAACTCTATCCAACTTCAATAAATGTACTTTAACTGTTGCTACATATACACAGCATCCATAATCTATTGTTGACCTCATTAGAGCCCTATACATTAATGATTGTTTATTTGGTCCCCTGTCTTTCCCCGCAACTGCTCTCATTGCATTTATGACTTTCTTGCATTTTGATTGCACCTTTCGATGTATTTTCCATGTTCCCCTTTGGTCTGACCACATACCCAGATATTTAATGATGTACTGTTATATTCTGACCATATAACTGTAGGTTCTGTTTGTCTATCCCTTTTTTTGTGGTAAATATCATATGGCAAGACTAACTTGGACAAAGCTTAAAGTCCTAATTATACCTTTCCTATTGCTTCCTTGATTTTACTTCTCACCCTTATGGGATCTCATCCTCTTGTCCTGATGGCCCCATCATCTGCACACAGAGCTGACCCAATCCTTCTGTCTAGATTCATAAAAATATCATTAATCATAATATTACATAAAACTGGACTAATAACACCGCCTTGTGGAATTCCATTAATAATTTCAAATTGTTCAGATACTTCTGATCCCACTTTAACTCTAAATCTTCTTTCTGACAAAAATAAAACCTACCTCTAATTCCCATTTTGTTCAATTTAATTAGTAACCCTTCCCTCTCCATGGAATCATAAGCTTTTTCAACATCATAGAACGCAATACTCATTATTTCTTTAATTTTAAGTGTTTTCTCTATCTCGTTGCTTACTTTCACAACAGCATCCATTGTGGAACACCCTTTTCTAAACCCACTTTGATATGGTTCATATAATCCTCTATGTTCAAAGGTGTAATTAAGTCTTCTGACTAGTATATCCTCCATCCACTTGCATAGATGTGATGTTAGGGTGATGGGTCTATAATTACCAGCATTATTAGAATCTTTCCCAGGTTTATTAAATGGTAATATTAACGCACTCTTCCAGCTTTTGGGCATTTTACCTTCTTCCCATATCTTATTAAATAAGTCCAATATTATCTGTAACACTTTTTCAGGTAGTTTCTGGAACATGATGTAAGTCAGTTGATATTCTTCTGTAGCAGTATTTCTAATACCATTTAATACAATCACTATTTCATTCAAAATAATTTCTGCATCCATAGTACTTTCCTCACTATCTTTTTTAATAAACACATTTAATAAACACATTAAACACATTTTCCTTAAGAACATTCTCTTTATGTAGTCTATGGATATCATCTAAATGATCACCACTATGCACACTAGCAAACTTCTTTCCCAACATTACCCTCTAATACTGGTATTTTAGCATATACTTTCCCCCCCACTCATTTTCTTCAGCATTGACCACACCTCTCCTAATTCACTCTGACGACATGAGGTCACAGATCATGACGTTTTCGTTAAAAAGTTTAAATATCAGAAATTAATAAATAAAGTCAGCAAAGTGTATAAACAATATCATCACACATACACTAGAAAATATAAATAAACTAAACCGTAGTTTTTTTTCAGATGTTTAAAAATGTTTACTAAGAAAATAGTTCGACCTTTACGTTCATCCTCCGCCAACATGGCGTAAAGAAATAGTCCCGAATGTATCAACAAACTTTAAGGTGGTTCTGTTAAACCGTCGGAATTTGATTGAAAATGATAACGCAAATGTTTGTTACATTCATACAAATTTTATCATTGTGTTTCTTTGCGGTAAGCAAAATAATGGTGGAAAATAATCTGTCGACGGAAGTGATACTCGTCGAAGCGGAGGCATAAAGCATATTGGGTAGATTACCAACTTCCTTTTTTCTGTGGCCGCCATAGCGAGTGGAGCGTGGTTCCCGGCGAGCCGAAAAGAAATTACCGAAAATGGTGAGAAATAACATTTATATCGTTATTATCATGCTATATAATACGTGGGGGTTATCTCGTTCGTTGTATGTGTCAAGTAAGTCCGTATTATCTGTTAGTTAGCAACTAAAATTCAGTTTTAATGTAGCAGTGGATTGAAATGCTCCCGGCTAGTGAAGCTAACACGAGGAGCCATTTTGGACGAGCAGCTAAAGTTGCTCAGCCTTGATACACGTGTGGTTATCGATTCAGTTGTAGGTCGGTAACTTAACAAGCTTATTTAGATATGACATATGTATCGTACTGGTCGTAGATGCTACTCGATGTATTAAAGTATATAAACTCTCGTAATGGTAATACAATCTGCAATGAGCTGACAAGGTAAGTTAACGTTTCAAACTGGCTTAGGAAGCCACGTTAGCAGAATCGAGCTAAAGCGAACAGTCGACCAATTTGTCCAAATAGACTTTTAAAGTTAACGTTAGCAGGCTGTCAACTCGCACATGCGAAATGTGATGATTTGAATTATTTAAGAATTTGTCTTGAACAATTCTATAACTGCCACTACAATCTTATAGAGTATCTATTACCATCTCGAAATCAACGTTATGTATCTGACTGAAGATAAATTCGTTTTGCATCCTAGGCCTGTGCACGACCCCCTGATTTCGGTGTATTCCGAGAAAGGAGAATCCGCAGGCAAGAATGTTGTCATGCCTGCTGTGTTCAAGGCTCCAATTCGCCCTGATGTTGTGAATTTCGTTCACACCAACATGCGCAAGAACAGTCGCCAGCCCTATGCAGTCAGTGAACTGGCAGGTGAGTGTATATGTCTGTCTTGAACTGGCATGTTAAGGCCTGGCGTCACTGTTATACCGAATAACAGTTTTCAGGATTTCTCATGTGTTTACAAATCTGATGTATTTTGCCTTTAATCTAGATGTGTAATTGTGTGTTTATTTCAGGCCACCAGACCAGTGCAGAGTCCTGGGGTACAGGAAGAGCTGTGGCCCGTATCCCTCGTGTGAGAGGTGGTGGTACTCATCGCTCTGGCCAGGGTGCTTTTGGAAATGTATCCGTTTACCAGAATTGAAGTGTTAAATTATATTCCTCCCCTTTTTAAAATAATTTTGTGTGTCAAGGCAGATTAAAACTGAAACGAAGACTTGCAGTGATGGTGTAATTTGCGTCTGACTCTGTGACCAGTGACAGAATGCCTACTGTCATATGCTGGCACAGATGGCTGACGAACAGGAGTGTCTGAGCAGGTATTAGGTACTTGTGTTACTTCAGGAGATATCAACCCTCCTTGACTTTGATCTAGATGTGTCGTGGAGGACGCATGTTTGCCCCCACCAAAACCTGGCGCCGCTGGCACCGCAGGATCAACACAACCCAGAAGCGTTATGCCATCTGTTCTGCTGTTGCTGCCTCTGCCATTCCTGCACTTGTGATGTCCAAAGGTAAGCCACACAAACAATATTTCTGAAGGTCAAAACTGGTGTAAAGTCTTTAGACATATATTTTATAATGTTATGATTAACATTAAGTACAGCTTAATATTTGACTTGCTATGATGGTGTAATTTGCGTCTGATCCTGTGAACAGTGACACTTGCCTGCTGTCTCTATGCTGTCACAGGGAACTGATGTGTGTGAAATTCTGAGCAAGCTCTGGTAACACTAGTCTTCTCACAGCCACAAGAAGGTTGAGTGTGGGTATCTTTGGTTAACATGATGGTGGTTCCCTTAGGACACCGCATTGAGGAAATCCCAGAGGTCCCACTAGTGGTTGAAGACAAAGTTGAGGGCTATAAGAAGACCAAGGAGGCAGTGCTCCTGCTGAAGAAGCTTAAAGCCTGGAATGACATCAAGAAGGTAATTTTAAATTCTTAACACACTATTAAGGAATACGTGATTTTGAAACTGAAATACTAAGGGCATTATGAAGTTAATGTGTTGATTTTAACTAGAAGGATAGGTGTGTGTGTATCCATCCACTATGACAACTGTAGGAATCATAGGTATTTTTATACAATTTCCCCTCAACTTAAGGGGAATCCTTTTTTGAACCTTTAAAAATGACACTTAACTCAGCCTGTACAGCAGCAATCTTGTTTAATTTATTTTTTCATAAAACTTTAGAGAGATTCCTTCGCTCTTTATACATTAATTCAAAAAGCCTTCAAGACGAAACCTGTTACTTTCAGAAGAATTAAGAACAGTTCTTCTGCCTGTGGTATCTGCTTACATTTAGTATATTTATTAGGGATTACTAGGTTTCTTTGTTTTGTTTAATGGCATATTGGAATAATCTTTCCATTCTCAGGTCTATGCCTCTCAGCGCATGCGTGCCGGTAAGGGTAAAATGAGGAATCGTAGACGGATCCAACGCAGAGGACCATGCATCATCTACAACCAAGACGCTGGTGTCACCAAAGCTTTCAGAAATATCCCAGGTGTTTGTTCAAATGTCAAATTAATTACTTGTTAGCTAAATGGATATCAGAACATTATCCTAAAGTCTTTAATGTGCAGCAGTGTATAGTTCATATTCAGTGGGGTTTACAAACTCATAAAGATAAAAATGGGACAATGGTGGCAATCCTTAAGACCCCAGTCACTACATAGCTCCACATTTATGCAGGTGTAAATAACTCCATATTGCATTTATGTAAACTTTAAATTCCTTATTTAATGAAGCAACTAGAGAACACTAAAATATTGTGCTGTATTATGAAGGCATCACTCTGCAGAACGTGAACAAACTGAACCTCCTGAGGCTCGCCCCTGGTGGTCACGTTGGACGCTTCTGCATCTGGACTGAGAGCGCTTTCCGCAAGCTGGATGATCTGTATGGCACCTGGCGTAAACCTGCTTCCCTGAAGGTCGACTACAAGTGAGTATTTAAGAAAGCAGTAGCACAAGTTAAACTGGTGTTCACATTACAGTGATGATCTTCCACTTCATGGTCCGTGTTTTTGAATGTTTGTGATATTTAAGAAGTTCTGAGTTTGAACAACACAATTAAGTTGCAAGTTCACCGTTTGCATGATTTGAAATTTAGTAATTTTATTCTTAATGCCTTATTCCAGCCTGCCCATGCATAAGATGACCAACACAGACCTGAGCAGGATTCTGAAGAGTGAGGAGATCCAGAAAGCACTTCGTACACCCAAGTAAGCACGGCTCACTTGATGGTCTTGACATTTGTTTTAAGCTTGTCAACTATGATGATGTTCCACTTCAGGTCCGTGTTTCTGAACCCTGATTATTATGGAGTCCTGAGCGACACAGATTATTACAAACTTGTAGTTTAGCAGAACTTGACCTTGTTAAGACTGGGTTATATTGGCATTACAGCAAGAAGATCAACCGCAGAGTGCTGAAGAAGAATCCTCTGAAGAACTTGAGGATAATGCTCAAACTGAACCCTTACGCCAAGACCGCAAGACGTCATGCCATCCTCAAGCATGACCCAACTGTAAGAACCTAAACAAAACAACAAAAACAAGTTGGAAGCACAAATTGTAGACTTGAATTGTTGATTGTGACTTTGAAATCTTGTTTTTCTCCATAGATCAAGGCTAAGATGCTGAAACCCAAGAAGAAGACTGGAAAGAAGGGCGCACCTGCCAAACCCAAGGCATAAATCTATACTTACAGACTGGCGTTCAGTGATAAATAAATCAGTTGTTTCAAATTTTTCATTTACAAGACTATTTATTTCACAAAAACTAATAACGACTTTAGCCTGCTAGAGCTACTAAGACAGAAGGTAGAGAGGAATAACAAGCACAAAGTGTAAGCAGCATTTGTTATGCTTACCGTAAAAATTTGATCATTGGAAAAGGGTGGCTTCTCAGGCAGGTGTGCAACGTAGCCTAAAGTATTTTTCAATTCGTAGTTGGTTTCACTTGGCATATAGGTTTCTGCACAACATTTTTAAATCCATTTAAAACTAACTTATTGGAGGACCATGGGGTGTGGGGTTTTCCTAGACACAGAACAGGTCTCACACTGCTGTACTGTTGCTGGGTGTCGATGGCACAGGTACACATGGTTGGAAATTGAAATGCATAGATAAAGTTAAAGGGCTGATTTGCGCTTGAAGGATGTCTGATTGTTTGCATCCACATTGTATAAGTGTAGCAAACCTAGCTGTCTTTATATATAGTCTCCTCCATTATAGAGGAATCCTTTTACTGTGTTTTACTCAAAGATGTAAACATGGAAAGCAAAAAATGGCTGCCATACAAGTGGAGTAAACTGTGTCTGGGGTAAAATTGCGGTATGGGTAAGATGAGGTATCGCAGATGGAACCAATGCAGAGGACCATGCATCATCTATAGCCAAGGTGCTGGTGTCACCAAAGCCTTCTGAAATATTCCAGGTATGTTTGTTCAAATGTAGAGGTCATTACTGTTAGCTGAATGGATGTCAGAATATTATCTTGAATCTATATTTAATACCTAAAAATGCATAGTTCTTATGCAGGAGGAATTACAAGCTATATAGTAGGACAGTACTGTGACAGGCAGGAAACTGCTATGAAGACCCCATTCATGTGCATAATTCATGTTGCAGTTTTCTGAATGTTGTGCCATCAGTGCATGCAAGTTTTTTTTTTTTTTTTTTTTAAATAAACTTTGAAATTAAAAGAAGCAACAAGATAACACAACATGAATGTTAAATTATTGTGCTGTATTATGAAGGCATCACTGCAGAAAGTCCAACTGCCTGCCCCTGGTGGTCACGGGTGCACCTGGACAGAGTGCTGTCTGCAAGCTGGATTAGATGTACATCACCTGGCGTAAACCTGCTTTTCTCAAGGTTGATTACAAGTGAGTATTTACGGTGTAGTAGCAAGTTAATCTGCTGTTGATTACGTCACAATGATGAGCTTCCACTTCATGGTCCGTGTTTTTGAAACTTTGTGATATTTACGAAGTTCTGAGTTTGAACAACAAGTTAAGTTGTAAATACAGTTTTCAGAATTTGAAATATGCTAATTTTATTCTTAATGCCTTATTATTCCAGCCTGCTCATGCACAAGATGACCAACACAGACCCGAGTAAGATTCTGACTAGTGACATCCAGATTGCACTTTGTACGCCAAGTAAGTGGCTCTCTTGATCTATGATTTTAGCTTGTCAATGTCAACTATGATGATGATCCACTTCAGGTCCGTGTTTCTGAACCCTGATTATTATGGAGTCCTGAGCGACAGAGATATTATAAACTTGTAGTTTAGCAAGTAGTTTACTTTGTTAAAACTGTGTTATATTGCCATTACAGGAAGATGATCAACCACAGTGATGAAGAAGAATCCTATGCAGAACTGAAGATAATGCTCAAACTGAACCCTTAATGTCAAGACAGCAAGAAGTCATGCCATCCTCAAGCATGACCCAACTGTAAGAACCTAAAGTTCAAGCTTGAAGCAAATATTGTAAACTTGATGTGACTTTGAAATCTCCATAGATCAAGGCCAAGATGCTGAAACCCAAGAAGTCCGGAAAGGTGGGTGAGCCTGCCAAACCCGAGGGCATACATCTACAGACTGGAGTTCAGTGATAAATCAATGTTGTTTCAAATGAGTCTGACCGTTCATTCAGAATTTTCTTCACAAGACTTTATTTCACAAAGATTTTAATCTGCTGGCGCTAAGGACACAAGGTAAAAGGATTATCAAGCACACAGGTTGAGCAGCATTTGTAATGATTAAATAATTTTATATTTAGAAAAAGATGGCTTCTCTGGCAGGCCTGTAGCCCAAAAATTGTTCAACTCAGTTAATTTCCCTTGGCATGTAGGTTTGTACACTAAAATACAACTAGTAATTGCACAACATTTGTCATTTAATTCTCTGTATAAACATACATTTTACCCATAATACAAATCCAGTCATTAGAGAAACTTCGGCTTGACGTAGACCGGTCTCACATTGCTGTACCGTGGGTTGGTGTCACGGGCTGATTGAGTCCAATGGTACTGCACAACCAGCCAGCAAAGTCAACCTGCTCTGCCTCAGACTGTTTGATAAAAGAATGTACCTGAAGAAAAGGAAAGGTGTATAAGATGGCTAAAGAGCTGAAGCTACAATTAGGAAATGAGAACTGCTAAATATACTTGCTCACCATCAGCTGTTTCAGGTCTGCTCTGTCTGCAGGATTCTTGACCAAACTGGAATGGAAACACAAACTGTCTTAAGCATTTTTACACCACTAGGTGGCATAAAGTGTGATGGGCAGATGTGGATTTTTCCCCATTGGTGTTTGATTCCAGTAAATAGATTAAATATTTCTCTTACATACCATTTATTGACAAAGTCTTGAAATTCTGAGCTAAATATCCCAGGTAGCTTTGGCGGAGGCTGAAAATTTAAAAAGGTCCAGTCAGCACTGAATGGATCAAATCTAACATCAAGTCCATCAAAGGGATTACAACAATGTACACCAGGACGTAGTCATACTGGGCGCACTCACCTCATTGACAATGTAATCAAGCAGCTCAAAAATAGCCATCGGCGGTCTGCTGTCAGATCCGTATGCTGGAGGGAGGGATAAAATAAAAAGGATGTCAGCCTCTCACGATTCAATATGTCCTCTGCACTATTCATAATTCAAAACTACCAATAGATGTCAACTGATGTTGTAATCTAATGTGGTAAAAATGTTTCACTCAAAGTTGCTGTCATTTAAAAAAAAAAAAAAAGCCACTGCAGAAACACAGGACAATGCAGTGTCGTCTCAAACTTACAGCTGCCTGGTCGCCCAGGGGGCCGTGGCTTTGGGGAGGACTCACTGGAGGCTGCCTCCCCTTCCACTGGAAAACCAAAAATCTGTTCCAGTTCCTTAGCATCTGGTGGTGGGATAGGGAAGCGTCCAATGGCCATTTCAACCAGGGACAGACCCATACTCCAGATGTCCGACTGAACAGAGTAATGGGTGCCCTGTAAACGCTCCGGCTGTACAACACACATGCAGTTATATCACTAATGTTTCCAAAAAAGTTGGCACGCTATGTGAAATGTAAAGGAAAAATGTGTGGTGATGTGCAAAACATTGGAACCCCATATTTAATTTCAAATGGCACAAAGACAATTTATCAAATGTTGAAACAGACACTTCTGTTTTGGAAAAATAATATGCACATTTCGAATTTGATGTCCGCAACACGTTTCAAAAAGTTGGGACAGTGGCAACAAAACACTGGAAAAGTTGTGAAATGCTAAAAGAAAACATGTCACGATTAATTTGGTCAATGGGGGTGCGCTAGTTCACATGGCACAGGCAACCTGCACATTTGTAAAGGACACTTTAATGCGGAACAACATATGCATACAAGTAGATGATTTCAGGGAGGGCCTTGCTTATTTCAGCAAGACGATGCAATACCACATTCTGCACGTATTACAACATCATGGCTCCGTAGAAAAAGTCTGGGTGCTAAACTGACTTGCCTGTAGTCCCGACTTGTCACCCACTTAAAATGCCTCAAGCAAGAATGGAAAAACATTCTACTTCCAAGACTGTTCGAGTGTTGTTAAAAGAAGAGGTGGTGCAACAGAGCAGTAAACATGACCCTGCCCCAACTTCTTTGAAACATGTTGCTGGCATCAAATTCAAAATGGGCATATCATTTTCTTAAAACATTTTCAGTTTCAACATTTGATAAGTTGTCTTTGTGCTATTTTCTATTAACTATGGGATTTTAATGTTTTGCAAATCATCCCATTATGGTTTTAAATACATTTTACACAGCGTGCCAACTTTTGTGGAAATGGAGTTGTACTTTACCTACCATTACTGAGTTTGTATAAGTGGAACATTGCAGATGAAATACAGCAGCATAACAAGTAACAACATGACAAAGCAAATCTGACATTCATGATTAACAGTGACATGTACGTGCAAAATCTAAATGGATCACACTTGTTTAGGCACATGTTCCCGTGCAGTGTACACAGCAATGAGAGTGAAAGTCTCTTGGCTTCAGACAGACAATGGAGAGAGTAAAATTTAATGAATACTGAGTAACCAGATTTAGTCAAATGATGCATGCATGCTAAAAACAAAAAATGAATTTACATTTGTCACATCAATGGCTATTGTGTTAATAAAATTACTAAGTTGGGGATATTATCAATTTCATTTGTTTTTGATAAAGCAACATACACTGAACAAAATTATAAACGCAACACTTTTGTTTTGAGCTGACTGACGACCTGTCCAGGGTGTACCCCGCCTTTCTCCTGATGTTAGATGGGATTAGTGGATAAGGATAAGTGGTGACGATTGATGGATGGATAGATCATGAGCTGAACTCAAAGATCTAAGACTTTCTCTATGTATACAAAAGGCCTATTTCTCAAATATGTCAAAATCTGTGTTAGTGACCACGAGATTATCCATCCACCTCACATTTGTTTACATGGGGGTTACTACTTTTTATGTAGCTATTGCTGAAAAAATATATGGCCTCCTCGGCATGAAGCCTTTGTATAAAGCCAGTCCCAGTTGACTAAGTCATCTGAATTGGGAATCAATTCTAAACTGTGGACTTTTGTAGTCTTATGCATCTGAGACTTACTTCAATTGTTTCAGGAATCCTAAAGCCTAATGTGTGAATGAGAGCAGCAAGAAATGAGGAGCGTGTCCATTTGAACTCACAGACATGTAAGAGCGAGTGCCCACAAAGGAGTTGGCCATGGAGTCTATGAGCTGTCCACTCACTCCAAAGTCACACAGCTTGATCTCACCGCGGGAATTCACTAGGATGTTAGAGGGCTTCACATCTGAAGGAGGGACATGCAGAATTTAGCAGGACATGGTGGGCAATTGTTCAACAGGGAACAGAAAGCACCGCAGAACAAACTGCTGCAAAGGCTTGGTGCATGTTGTGCTGCTTGTCGGTTTTAACATTTCCTTTCATCATTCATGTGTACAACAAGATATAGTCTATGCATCTTAAATAAGGAATTACTGTAAGGTAAAGATATCTAAAGCATTGTTATTTAGTATAGCATACCTAAGGACTGGTATTTGTTTATTTAGAGGTCATTTAAAAGTTGGTAAAACCTTTTTATTTATATACAGTACAATGAGTTTTAGTAAAGACGTTTTATAGAGGACTTTGGTTTTAGGCAGGTGTGGAAAAAATGCTGTAAAGTAAGAATGCTTTCAAAAATATACATGTTGATAGATTATCAATTAACAAAATGTAAAGTGAATGACCAATCCAAATCAAATCAATTGGGGTCATTGTCATGCTGCAGAATAAATTTGGCGGCCAATCAGATGCTTCCCTGATGGTACTGTATGATGAGAAGTATCTGCCTTTACGTCTCTGCATTGAGGAGACCATTAATTCTGACCAAATCCCCAACGCCGTTTGCAGAAATGCCCCGAGTTCCTGTGTTTTCATGCATGGTTGAGTTGCTTGGCCTTGTTGAAGGTATGGCTTTTTGGCCACAAGTCTTTCATGAAGGCCACTAATGAGTTCTCAGATCAGATGGGTGTACCAGGGCCCCACTGTTTTGTGCCTGTTCTCAGCTGATGCCACTGCTGGACGTCTTCCGATTGTCACACCAAATATTGATCTCATTTAGATTTTTCTTGTCTTAACTCACTTTGCATTTTGTTAATTGATAAAAATAATCTAAAGGATTCTTACTTACATTTCTTGCACAGTACTGTATAATATGAATGCAGTATGTACAGTATATAGTAAATGAAAAAGGGATTGACCTCTGTGCATGATCTTGTGTTTCTCCCTCAGGTAGGAGAGCCCTTTAATCACCTGTAAAGACAAATATTGCATATCAGAGTAGTAAGGATTTGGATTATTTGGTAGTGCAAAAGAAAGAATGTACTGGTGATAAAAAAAATACAAATATAGCAAACAAAACAAATATATCTGTAATGTGACGACCAGAGCATGAAACGGGTAGGAGAGGTGTTGGAGCTACCCACAGCGATGCTGACTTTGCCAAGGATCTGTTCTGGGATCTTGCCTGCCTTCTTCAGTGACTGATCCAGGGAGCCTCCATCCTATATCCAGCGGGGATGGAAAATATGGAGAGAATATACTAAAAGGGCTCTTTTAAATTCTAAATATAATTTGTAGAATTCAACACATTTAAAGCAAAATTAGTTTCTTTCAATACCAATGAGATATACATTGAAGAAACAAAAAGCCATACACTTTCAGCATAGCATGTAAAGCAGCACTCAAAGTGAATGCTGTGTAAATACACTGGCAGTAAAAATATTAGAGATAAGTACCATATGCTCCATGCAGATGCTGATTTCTCCATCACTGTAGAAAGCTCCATAGAAGCCCACAATGTAGGGGGAGTTACACTCATGTAGCACCTGAAGCTCCCTGATGATCTGGTTCCTAATGGCTGGTTTGATCTCCAGGTGGATCAGCTGTAACACAGAAGACTTCAGGCTTCATTTATGTTCTCAGATCTCACAGAACATGGAGATACAATCTGGTCACACACACAAGAACATAAGACAACACTACTAGATATAGTTTTGGCTGAACTGGCAAAAATATATTTTTTCCCCCAGTGTCTTAATTAAAGCCG